TTGGCACAGAGTACAGTTGCAAAGATAGTTAATAAGCCTCTTGAGACTCACTCGATGACTTGAGGGGGCTTACTGCGTTCGAGTGAAGCAGGGGTTCAAAGGCCCCCTCACGTCTCACACTGTTACTAGGGGACAATTTGATTTTGGCCATATCAAGCTTGGATCAATAGGTCGAAGGTTGACGCCATGAGTGGTAGATAGAATTGGATGAGTTGCCCTGGTATTAGAATGAAGTGAGACTCAGATGACGGGAGAGAAAAGGTATTGGCAATCTGATAAAGGGAAGTCAATCAATCATCGGATGAGGATGGTTGAGGAAGACAGTGTCAGAGATCTCTTTGCACATTGCAATGCGTAGTTCACCTTGCGGCGGCGCAGAAGGAGGTCTTACTGCACAGTTCAGATCTGGATGGGGAGGAGCAAAATTGGACAAAGGTATGATTGCAAGCCTACTGATATACTCACAAATTCGCCCCAACCAAATCAATCAGCATCAGGAAAGCTCCAGCAACATTTTTGGCTGCTGTCAAAATGTGGAGCGCAGTCTGAACGCTTGTGAGACATACGTGGCAAGCTGACCTCAACTTTGCAATACACCGCAGCGAGCTTGCAATCTGTCGGCCTCCAACAAAGTCAGCCCATGTCACAAAGCCTCTGGATACAAGGATGAATATAGCTTGAAGGAAGGAGGAAAGGAATAGAGATATGACAGCATACAATAGAAGTGAAGTAGAAATATAACTAGCTCAATGTATCAACAGGAAGAAAGGCGAGAAGAAGAGACTACACGAGGCGGACTGATCAAGAGGCTTGACGAGTTGACTTTCGCGTTGACACGGCTGAGGCTTTTCGAGATTTCTTGGATTTTGGTGTTGGTTCATTGGGTTTGGCAGGCGTAGGATTTGCATCAACAGGTTCAGTGGGAACGGAATTCGTCTTGGTGGTATCGTTGGTTGAGACTAGCTCGGTAACATCTTCAGTCACCTCAACATGTTCGGCTTTAGTGTTGTCGATTGCGGCCGCCAAAGTTTCGGACGAGGTGTCAACAGCAGGTTGCGCGTCAGGCACCGGAGTCGTGAGGCTTTCTACGGTAGCCTGTTTGGTAATGACCTCTTGGCCCGATATGGAGCCAGAAGTAATGGGTACATCTTCCCTCTCCTCTTCAATCACGTTCATCTTCGTCTCCTCAATAACCTTAGAAGTCGCCGTGCCAGCAAGTTTGGCTTTCTTCTTTTTCTTCAGCATCGCCATTGCTACCGCACTCTTAACCTTCTCAATCCCTTCTTTGGATTGCTCGAGTTCTTTGCTATCATTCAAGCGTCTCTTCCGTACGTTTCCTTCATCTGTACCATTCACGAGCGCGTCTAAACGTGCAATTTCTTCGTTTAACGCAATCAATTTGGCTTCGGCCTCACGACGTTGGGCTGCTTGACGCTCTGGCTCAGAGGCAATAGCTGCGGCGAGTCTGGAAAACAAAATCAGGTCGGATCAGAGACTGATTGATAAATCTTTTGGAGACAAGTTCTGAGTAAATGTGCTGGGACAAACTTCTTGGCCTCTTTGATAGTTGAAAGTCTCCTGCCTGTCAAATCTCGACACGAGTCATTGTTTTGAGTCTGTTGAAAGAAAACCAAGAGATGTTTTGTGATCAGTCTTGGGTTCGTAATCTCTCAGGACTAGTTTAGGCATAAATTCTTAGTATACCTTCTGCGAACTCATCCGACCACCAGCGGCTCGAAGTTGACTTCCGAAACCACCCTTTCCGCCCAAGACTTTAGGAACGAGACGAAGGTGAACAAATGAGGCATGAGGGGTCGAATTCAAGCTGAAAAGATGACCAGATGTAGTCAGGCTGATGGATGTTCCAGATGAAGTTGAAAGCGATTGTTGGTCGGGATGTAGAAGGGGGCTAAGGATGTGAGGGAGAGAAGAAAGAGGTGTTGAGGGGGGGAGCGAAAATGATATGGTAGGGAATGGGTGGAATGATGATAGGATGACAGAAATCGAAGGTGCCATAATGGTCTGGGTTGAATTGAGGTTAATTGAAGGTAACTTGAGTGAGGAGGCGGTGGAAGGTGTAGAGGTATGCCTACTCTTATGTACCTACTGCTACGTATTGTAATTACTAATACATACGCGTAGTACCTAATGTTAAGAGGTAGCCTATGTGTAGAGTAAATTATATGCGTCTGTGGTTCCCATCTAGTGATTTTTTTTTCCAAAACCTCCATTTCTCTCCAGTTCCTCAGATTCTCAAAACCATCAAGACCGACAACATATCGAGACTCAGTGCAAGCTAGTCTTTCTCATCATGTCATATCAACTATCAAACTCTATCTTTTCCTCCCATTCAACCAACATCAGAACCGGAGATACCGTCATTGTCTATCATGTCAGTCTTCACTCCCAACATCATCTTCATTGGGTTGCCATCTATCCCTTGACCTTCTGCCCTGAAAACTCACTTAGCTGATCACCTGCAACAGTCTAGAGACAACTTGTCGGCAATTGTGGTGCGGCCCGGTCAAGTACTTCGATCAAGATACGGTGAATTTCCACATGATGACATGGTCGGAATCCCTTTTGGGTCTAAAGTAAGCATGATCCCTAAACAGTGACCTTCATATTCAGGGAAAATTTGCAAAAAAAGAAAAAAAAAAAAAAACTGATCGAAGGCGATCTATCTTCTTTTGATGAATTTATAGTGCACGAGTAGTAAAGGCAATGGCTTCACATATCTACTAAGGCCGACACCGGAGTTGTGGTAAAGATCAAAACCAATTGCTTGGTGATATCCCCTGTAAGGCCTTCGGCGCAGGTTGGATCGAACCAACGGCCTGCTCGTGTCAATTCGGCCATCTGACTTATGTTTCCACCCTTTTGTATCCATTCCTCCCGGGTTCTCCCCTTTCCTTTTTCTTAGGACCCTTGCCCTGCCCCATCGGACTCAGATTCTGTATCTACCTGATATCGCCTATGTCACCGGTCAGCTCGATCTCAAGCCAGGTTCAGTGGTCATAGAAGCTGGTAAGCATCACTTACACTCTCTTCACATTTTTACCTTCAGCTTTATTGCGATCACTCACAAAACAAACAAAACCGCCTTTTTATAGGCACTGGCTCTGGTTCGTTTTCTCATTCGGTAGCCCGGACGATCGGAGATCACGGAAAACTTTTCTCGTTCGAGTTTCACGAGGAACGTTTCACCAAAGCCGAGTCTGTAATAGTCTCCCACCTCCCACCTGTCTCTCTTTCTCGGACTAACAGGTTTTTTCTGTTTTGGGGATTCTTCTTCCAGAGCCGAGTTCCGATTGCACGGCCTTCTAGCCAGTGAAGGTGGTCCGATTCGTCTTCAGCATCGAAACGTGATCAAGAACGGATTTGGGGACCTTGATCAGGAGAAGGTGGACGCGATCTTCCTTGACCTGCCAGCGCCTTGGGACGCGCTAGCGGATGCAAAGCGAGTGATGAATGTGAGGCAATCTTTAGCATATCTCACATCCGTTTTCCTTGTTTGTTTGTTTTCAGTTTCGTGACCCTGACTCACGCCTTTCATCGTCACCAAGAGAGCCTACACTTCCCGGATCTGCTGCTTTTCGCCCTGCATGGAACAAGTTCAGAAAACTTGTCAGACGCTCCAAGCGTTGGGCTTTGCAGAGATTACGATGTTCGAAACCTTGTTGCGCACACACGAGCCCGCCTCCGTCCCGATGCCGACAGTGGCCAACGCAGTTAGCCGTATTAGGGAGGTCGAAAGGAAGAAGGAACTACGACGGGAGCGACAGATTGCAGAGGCTAAGGCACGCAAGGAGGCTGAGTCGGGGGAGTCGAAAGTAGCGACGGAGGAACTCGAGTCCAAACCAATTCCGGGTGTCAAACGTCCCCGGACTGAGTCCTCTCCTCTTGATGGTACAGGGTCAAATGGAGCCGCTGGTGTGTATGACTCACAACAGGCTGTAGTGACTTCGTCGATCGCTTCGACTACGACGCTCGAGACCTGTAAACCGGCCCCCATGTCACGCGGCCACACGTCTTTTCTCACTTTTGCAATCCTCTTGCCAGAGAGTGTGCCAGAGAGTGTTGCACCACAGGAAGAACCGGTGCTTGAGCTGTAATCTTTGTACCATTGGCGAATTAGAGCAAGTAGAGACACACCTCAATCACTTTCGGCATAAAGATGCCATTAGAGTCCTGTTTTCTTTGGTTGATAACCATACTGACTCCATTTTGCCCCTTGAAAAGAATGAAGGGGAAAAAAAAAAAAAAAAAAGAGAGAGAGAGAGAGAGAGAGAGAGAGAAGTCTGGTTATCCATGCCCTTGGTAAATGTACACATACCTTCAGCATAGTTTATTTTACATCTAGGTTATGTGAGGTAACGTACATGTGTATTACAAATGGGATGCAAATGGCGTTAATTTTCCCTTAGATACCCCCACTCTCCTTTAGAAATAAAAAAGTTATTGTATTACATCCTGAGTTTGTGATGATGTTACATTGTATACCCCCTCCCTCCCTCCCCCCTTCTTCATATGGGGAAGATAAATGTTGATCAAGGTGATAAGTTTTGTTACTGGGTATTATTAAGTCTGTGTTGACCTTGATAAAAGGTTCAGTATTTTTTTTTTTCTTCTAGATTTGGTGATAGCCAAGTAAGTATGTAGCGGTATGATCATAAAATTTTTAAATAGAGGTTTTTAGTATTAAGAAAGATTTATCTTCAAAAAAAAATTGAATATATATATATATATATATATTAAAATTCCTAAACACTTGAAGATGCTGAGAAAAAACAATTTCAGTGTTCAAACCTTTGGGGAATTTTTTTTTTTTTAAAAAAAAGATCTGTGATTCAGCAATTGGAAAAAAATACAAAAATTATTTCTGAACCAGCTTTTTCCCGAGACAATTTTATTTTTCTCAACAGCAGCCAAACTCTTTGTTGTTTGATCACCACCAGAGCAGGAGGGGAAGAGCGTCAAGAGAAAAACAAAAAAAACTCCACTAACCACGGGACTCGAACCCGCAACCTTCTCCTCGCAAGGGGACCAGCCTTAGGAGGGAGACGATCTACCATTGATCTAAGCCAGCATGTAGGAAAAGTCTCCAAGATGGTAAATTCAATTTGTCAACAGGTTTCCAATTCGATTTGTGTGAAAGTGACTGTGAGGTAGAAATATTTATTTGAGTGGATGGAGAGCAAGTGAGTGCGGTTGAAGTTTCTATCGAACGGTTAGATTGAAAAGGGTGAGGGTGTCTTGTTTTAGAGCAGCGCGTGTTGGCGAACCCGTCCCCAAGTGCGTTGTTCGATCGATCACCAATCTGTAGCCTGCTCAGCCCTGTTCCTTGTAACCACCAACGACTACCACCAAATCACAAAGACGAACGCACATTTTCAAAGTACGTCCACCAATTCTCACCGGGTTTCTGAGCTCGAGCACTCAAGCTGATCTCTTACCTGACCTTTATCTCGATCCTACCTCGATCCAGCCTGATCCTAATCAGCCTGCGCTCCAGAATGAGTGTACCCAAGCCAGGAGAAAAGCGCCAGCGCTCAATCGCTGACATGTTCGGTGTCCCTAAATCAGCCGCTCCGAAGCTGACGTTGAGTTTTAGGCATTTCTCTAATCGTGTCTCCCTTGGGGTAGGGCAAGAATCGGGTCCTCAAAAGCTGACTTATTTTGGACCGTTCTGGTCTTGTCGTTGTACTACCAGTGCTCCGGCCACCACCAATGCTTCTTCCAAGGCCAAATCGACGGCCAAGAAGCCGCTCCCCTCAAATTCAAAGAACTCAGTGGCTCGAATAGCCTACCACCGCCTTCCGGTCCTTGACCCCCAAACTGTGCTTGCGGGGCTCCCAGAGGACCACCGGGAACTGCTCGAGCTCGAGCTCAATCCTGTGACCGGACTTGGGCCCTCCTACCTCCGCACACTAAGGAGCGAGCTCACGCGCACATATTTCCTCGATCTCAAAAGATTTCTTCGTACTGAAACCTCCACACCTGTTTACCCGGCCGCATCCGATATTTATTCTTGGTCTCGTCGTACACCGCTTACTGGCATCAAGGTGGTGATAATCGGTCAAGATCCTTATCATGGGCCAGGTCAAGCACACGGTCTTTCCTTCTCCGTCCCGCGTGGGGTCGCGATCCCAGGCTCGCTACGAAACGTAAGGAACCGAACCTATTCCGTCTCATTTAATGATGTTTACTCACTCCCGTCTTATTCTCATCCAGATCCACGAAGAACTCAAGCGCGAGTATGAGGACTTTAAGAAGCCCACACACGGTTCCTTGGGATCCTGGGCCGATGCCGGCGTACTTCTCCTTAACACTTCTCTCACCGTCCGCAAAGGCGAGGCAGGCTCGCACGCCGGTCGGGGCTGGGAACAATTCACAGACGCGGTCGTAGACGCCATCGATCTCTACGGAGGCTTAGAACTTGGCGCAGGGAACATCATCGACCCAAATGATGATGAAGGCCCATCCACGAAACGACAAAAGACTGAAGACGAAAGTTCAGTTCCTGTCGCTGAGCGGGCCCAACCTGGGTTTGGGAAAGGCGTGGTGTTTTTATGCTGGGGTAAATGGGCTGCTGATCGTGTAGCACGACTCTCAGATGTCAGTCTACTCTTCTTCTCTCACTCCTGCTACCAGTCCAACTTCTGATCGACAGGGCTATGTTTTTGTTGAGGTTTGATAGACTAAGCATCTCATCCTTCGATCCGCACACCCTTCCCCGCTCTCGGCTCATCGAGGCTTCATTGGAAACGGGCACTTTAAACGCGCCAATGAATGGCTCGCTACCCGTTACGGCCCGTCTGCGGTAGTGGACTGGTGCTCTCTCAAACCTGACAATCCGCCAAATCCGATCGCCACTAAACCCCTTCCCAAAGAAACTGAAGCTGAAGCCGGTTCTGCTTCTTAAATACTGATTTGTTTTTTTTCTCGATGTTGATGTTGTTGTTCAATACTTTTTTGAAAATCTCTTCCCTACTGGCACGTTTATGCCACCACCACAGAAACCCAAATTTGGGAGCAGGATTGCTGTATCTCCTTTTCTTGTATCTTGATTACTGAATGAAGCATTGTTTGAATCTTCATTATACCTACTCACTCCACTCCGTCCGTCTCTGAATTTTTTCTTCTTTCTATTCTACATTTTCACCTTCTTGTGACTCAAATAAATGAAGGGCTCATACCTGTCAGGCGTTGCAAAAAACTATTTACCCCTGCATTGCTGTGTTGTTTTTTAAATACTTGCAGCACGCAATGAAGAAAGCTGTCGACCTGATTTAAGCTTACATTAGTTTGAGATACGAAGAAGTCTCTCTCTCTGTCGATTAGGTTAGTTGACAACCGCAGGAGCCAATCAAGCCACATAAGATCGATCAATTCAAGATTTTCCTTGGATCTTTAAATTTCATGCCTCAAGTTACACACACACACAAAGTGAAACTGTGAAGGGAAAATTTGGAGTAATCGTAAGGATTGAAGAAAGATTAAATGTCAAATCTCTTTTTGGACCAATCATTTATCTTTAACCGTAACCAAAAAAAAAAAAACTTTAACACATTTTATAACTTCCTCATCTGAATATTTTACATAATACAAGACGATACAAGACGTTTTTTTTTTTTTTTTTTTTTTTTGTTGTGATATTATTTGATAAAATCTTATATATGAAGAGTGATATAGGTAATCCTAACAGTTTTGGGTTAGGTAAGGAGAATTAGATTTTGGAAACCAAAACCCTGAGAGTCTACAAAGCTATTTTTTTTTTAAAAAAAAAAATTCAGAACGAGAGAGAGAGAGAGAGAAAGAAAGAAAGAAAGGAAGAAAGCAAGGTCCACAACTCATCATCCTTATAATTCAGACTCATCACTTTCACTCAGTCCATCATCAGACTCTGAGCTACCAGAATCACCAAACTCAAATCGAATCCAATCAAGTTCTTCCGGCTCTAATTCATTCCTCAACAACAATTGATCAAACATCACCAAAGTCTCTCTGTCCTCTTCGGCCTCTCCTCCAAGTTCATCAATTGTAGAGACTTTTTTACGAACTTCAGATGGTGTTCGACGTGCCACACGCGATCTTGAACGTCGGTGATGGCCTAATTCTTGTGCTGAATGTATTTTGACGACTTTCTCTACGCCGGCTGTGCACACGAAGGGGAAGATGGGATGGAAAGCTACCGAGTTTGGAATCGAACGATGACCACTTAGAATGAAGGATGGTTCATCGATCTGGGCTGGGATAGTGATCGGATTACGTCCGTAGCCTTCCCCAAAATATAAGAAACGCATCAGTCGTCGATTCAGGGATGTAATTACACGGTAGACAGGCGAAGAAATTATAGGCTCACCTGTTGTCTCTGACCCAGAACCAGTCAACCAACTCGAGGTATTATTGACTCGTACCCGGCGTTCCTTCAATTCGTCTAGTGGAGGAAGTTTCCATCCATAACACCTGAAATCGTCGCTGCCTGCAGCAAAATAAGGCGTCCTCGAATGAGAAGCATTCGAGAAGCTACCATGCTAAATTCCATCAAACCTAATTTAGTGAATAGCCCGGTAGCGTCCGAATATAACCATCAAAGACAAACTTGAGCTGATGACAACAAACCTTAATCGTGCAAGTGTCCCTGAAACCCCACCTTTGGCCATCAACACCCTCATGTCGACCAGATTTAAGTACCGCTACTGGCTCCGAACCATCAATCGCCCAAACGGTTGGAAACCATTTACTCATCATCGCTGCCAATAATTGACCGGTTTCATCAAAGGCAATCGAAGAAATCTCAGGTCTCGAGCGTCTCATTGGATTAGGTCTCACTAAATCGGTCGTGTACTGTTCTTTTATACCATGATCAATAGTATACTAAAACGGAAAGAAAAAAAA